TTTTCCAAAGTACTATGCATTATGCAATGTGCTGCCATTCTTGTTTTTGAAAGGTTGTGATTTCATTGAGTCAGAAGAGGACATTTGAATAATAAAGTAATTCTACAATGAATAAGATGCTATTCTTTTATCTTTAAAGTGAATACTAAATTCTTGCTAGGCAATAATATGACTAGGAATGTTGTCAAAGGAGACCGATCAATTAATCATTCTTAAGAGATCAATGGCTGAGCATTTGATGTCTCAAAGGGACTTTGAAGGCTTCAAAGCAGCTTGTACGTGGTGGAGGTCTGGAGCTTGGAAAAGTTGCCCTTTTGTGTTAAAGTTCCCAGAATTCCTTAATCAACATGGCCTGTACCATGCTGGCTGGGGCATTCTGGGAGTTATCAAAATTAAACCTTTCTGAGCTGCCAAATCCAAAACAGCGACATTCACCACCACCACCATCGCCATCATTGCATGTCTTTCAAGTTGCTTCCAACATAAAACAACACTAATTATATTGCGACATTTTGGGGAGCAAGATTTGTTCAGAGGGGGTTTGCCATTGCCTATCTCTGAGGCTGAGAAAATGCAACTTCCCTAAGGTCACCCAATGGGTTTCCATGGCCAAGCAGGGATTCCAATCTTTGTCTCCCAAAGCCTGAGTCCAGGAGTCGAACTACTGTATCACCCTGGCTCTCCATCATCATTACACTCTGTTATATATATTCTGCCCTAATTCTAATTCACATGTAAGTCCTTCTATTTTATCCCCATAACTGTGTGAGGTTGGTCAGACTAAAATAAGTTAACTCAAAGTCAACACAATGAGCTCCTTCTCTGATGGGGTGGTTGAACTTGGACATCCCTAATGCCACAGCGACTATTATCTGACTTTCCCAGAAGTTAGGAAAGTCACARYTTCTCCTACACCAGGAGGACCTTTAAAYTCCTAAACAACTTGGGATCTTGATGTATGATGATGGAGGGAGCCTTTCTCCCTATACGTGCCTACCTATGGACAGAGATGTGCTGGAGGAATTTTCTTTTGTCTCCCAACAGTGAAGTCAATACATACGATGAGAGCATGGGAATGGGCTTTCTCACATGTTGCAMCCCAGTTGTGGCATCATCACCATCAAATCATCATAACAGGCAATCACTTGCCAYTGAGTATGATGGTCTTCCATAGGTAGAGTCTTGGTGGTGAGTTCATAAGTGACTGTAGAGACCTATTCTGGATCTATATCAGTGGYTCTCAACCTGGGGTCCCCAGATGTTTTTGGCCTACAACTCCCAGAAATCCCAGCCAGTTTACCAGCTGTTAGAATTTCTGGGAGTTGAATGACAAAAACATCTGGGGACCCCAGGTTGAGAACCACTGTCCTACACTATTGTTCCTTGGTTCTGGAACCCACGCTGTCAAAATTTGCAACATCCTTGGAGCCAGACTCACCCCAGCAGATCAGGTAGATGATATCCCAATGGAGAAACAGACTACCTTGTATGCTGTCATATTAGATAGAATAGGGGTTTAAAACTCATTTTTCAATGTTTTCATGCATTGTGTTGTAGGTTCCCATGCACTGCATTGCAATTCTTGCATGAATGGGGAGGCAAAATTGCCTGAAAATCATTCCATTTTAATGTCTTTAGATCTTTGGAGGGACTGGTAGAGGTGCTTCAGGGGTCCATGCCCACCCCTGATGGAAATACGTGTTTACTCCCTATCCAAACTCAAAGCATTGCAATATCTCACTATCAGAACTCAGAGCATGGGAAGAGTTGCACAGAAGGAAATATCAATGATAGATTCTCACCGTTGTAAGATCCTAATTTGGAATAGGCTAAATTTGCACTACAAATCCAGAATGAGTTTCAGGTCTGTGGAATGTATTTCTGGCTATGTGCATGTACATGCATGCAAACACACACCATTCCTTGAATGTTGGTTTAGTGGTTCCTAGAGGGTGAGAATTTGCGCAAGTCGTTTTCAGATCTCAGGATCAATATTTTTTTAAAAGAGTTGCACCAGCTACAATTTACTTTTCTTAGCCAAAATGAAAGATAAGATACACAATCTCCCTGCATGCTGAAACTAACACAACTCCCTTCATTCTCCCTCAAGTGTCCTCAAGAGAACAAATTAAGAAAGCTATGGAGCACAATAGTAAAACAAAATAAGAGGCAGACAGATAAGGGTTTTGCATAGTCTGTTGGGTGAGTTATTCATGAATAGTGCCTTCTGCCAGTTGAACAACGAATCCTCTCTGGGGCTGGATCTACACTGCCATATAATCCACTTCAATGCAGTTAATCTGCATTATAAAGAAGTGTAGATCCAGCCTGAGTGAAGCTCAAACTTTAAAAGAACTGTCCAAAGTTCTGAAGCCTAACTACCATAAATAGGTCCAACAACTTGGATCATTTCTTGAATCTGTGGAGTTAAACGCAGAATGGATTCAATGACTCACTGGAATGGAGGTCACTTGTAAGAAAACCAAGGAGAACTTGGCTATGATTGTGCGCAGGGAAGAGGCAAAACTATGATTCCCAATAGAGAAGAGAATCAGATGGAGATGGCTGTGCTTCCAAAATTTCTGATAAGAATTTGTATCATTTATACATGACTCCTACCAGGAAAATAATGTGCTGTCTTGGGGGACACTGTTGTAACTGAAGCCTGTTTTTCTTCGCGCAAGGTGAGATGTTTCTCATTAGGAGTTGCAGTGTATTGTGTATCTTTGTGCTGAATTTCCACCCCTCTGCCCAATGTTCCAGGGATTGCACTTCCTTGACAGCTCCTATACAGTTCAGACTAAAGCCCAGAGCAAATTCATGGCTCCAGAAGACTCTTCTGAGAAAAACCACAACGAAGTGAGCATGGCAACTACAGAGTTCTTTGCATGAGTCAAAACTTGGGGAAAACTTCTACAAAATTGTGCCTTTGCTCTTCCACATTTCCACATTTCTAACAAATCCAGACTATCAATGGGTTTGGACAGAGCTTGGAAAATCCAAGAAGGGATTCTGTTCATTATAGTCTGCAAAAGTCACCTTCCCAAGCTCTAGATCTGGACTGTTTATGAATGAGAAATTCATGCACCATGCCATGCCTTTGGGGAGAATTTTGACAGATGTGATCCGAAAGAATAATTTTGCCAGTGGCAAATTAATGCAGGAATCTCATTTTTGCACAGACATATGTTCCCATCCCCACACTCTCCACTCACAGCTTTATCTTTCAATAAAAACATATCTTCTTATTTGCTACACAAAGGGAAATGTTGGTGCCAAGGTAATTTTAGATACCTTGAAATTACAGACATATCTCAGTTCACAAAGTACAGCCAGTCTTCCATGTTTGCTGGGTTTAGGGTCACAGGACCCTCTTGAAAAAGGAAAACTGCTAATTAAAAAAATACACTATTTTTAAACTATCTAGGAATCTTTAGATCCTTCAACAAGAGGCTATGATCAACCAGAAGTTGACCACAGAATCTCATTGGAGGAGTTTACAAATATCTAGAGAAGTGTTTTTCCAAGAATCTCTAGATACTTCATCACAACTTTGTGGTCAGCTTTGGGTTGAACATGACCATAGAATTGCACCAAAGAACATAGAGATTTCCTGAGAAACCATCTTAATTAAATCCATGAATGATCAAATCCACAAAAGTCAAACCCGCAAATGTAGAGGGCTGACTGTAGACGTGTTCATGACCATGGCAGAAAATTTGGTACATGGGGCAGAAACAACACTGGGCTCATCCAGACTGATTCAGAAGACCACAAAGTCCCAGATTCTGTTCCTGTTCTTCCTGGTTTCATTTTTAAGATCCATAGGTAAAGGTAAAGGTAAGGGCATTAAGTCTAGTCATGTCCAACTCTGGAGGTTGGTGCTCATCTCTATTTCTAAGCCAAAGAGCCAGCATTGTCTGTAGACACCTCCAAGGTATTGTGGCCGGCATGACTGCATGGAGTACCGTTATTTTCCCACAGAAGCAGTACCTATTGATCTACTCACATTTGCATGTTTTTGAAGTGTTAACTTGACAGAAGCTGGGGCTAACAGCAAGAGCTCACCCTGCTCCCTGGAATTGAACAGGAAACCTTTTGGTCAGCAAGTTCAGCAACTCAGTGATTTAACCCACTGCACCATCGGGGGTCCATACATGGTACTAATTTAGATGTGGGGGAGCAAAACCTGGGATTTTTCCAACCAATCTGGATGCACTCATGGAAAGGATAAGAATAAGGTTCTGCACAACAAGGCAGATGAGCAGTGAATATGTTCCAATAATATTTAAAATTACATATTCTTCATTAACAGTGGTGCATGTGGGAAATTAGGATGGAAGTCAATGGAGCTCATGGCATGTTATACAAAAACAACGTCCCTCACAATATTTGGTGCATCACCTGATAAATCATACAGGCATGAATACCACAGTCTAAGAACAGCAAGTCTAGATCCTGTCCTTTGCTGCAGACCCTCGGGTTTGGTGCTTCGTGGAGCTGGATTAATGGCTCACTACAGTGATGTGCTATGTCTCTATAACTTCTACTTGAATGTGCTTGTCGATTCCCTATGGGTTCTAGGACAGTATATGGATTTCTCCCAAACAGGCTTATACAATTTATAGCATGCCAGGTTTTTTGGCCTTCAGCTCCTAGAATTCCTGACAATTGGAAATGCTGGCTAGGACTTCTGGGAGTTGGAGTCCCAAAACCTAGAGGGCCACTAGTCGTGAAGCCCTGCACTAAAAGACAAAAGCCTCACCCAAATGGTAAAAACCCTATGGCACTTTCTTCCTGAACCAATGTCCTTGAGATGTGTTAGTCTACAACTCCCATTCCTAGCCTTTCTAGGCTGAGGATAATGGAGCTGTAGTCCAACGTATATGGAGGGCACCAGGGTGTATGAACAAGGCTTGCCTACACAAGCGACTAGTAAGGGAAGGTGCTGGGAACACCAGCTCTCAAGAAAGGCAAAAACCATTGAAGAACTGTACATGTTCAACCACTATTGCATAAATCTCAATATATTAAAGTTCTGCTGCATTAAATGCCCTGGACTATTTCACACAGTCATGACTATTTTTCTCCCCTCTAGAACATGGTAACTTAAACTTTACCATGGGGGCACATTTGGAAGATGAAATATCGGAAGGAGACAAAAAACCACATTGTGGAGATCGTTTGTGCCTCAAAAATAAGCACATGGGTTCATTCCAAAGGCTCCATGGTCCTGTTCTGTCCTCTCCCTTCTTTATGTAGCACAAGACTTATCAAACAGCCGCTCTCATCAACAGCAATTGCAGGCATCCGTGTGGACCCTCAGGATCCCTTTGCTGTGCATATGGAGAAAGTTGAAGATTTCTGAAGGCATGGCATGGAATCCTGGGCGAGGTTTGACATTGTCATAGTAATGATGGGTTATATATATCCCTGAGGGGTTCATGGGAAAAGCCCAGAATCCAAAAAGGTGCACTTCTTCGCACAGCTCCAACGCCGCCGTCACAAGGATCAGGCCGGTGCTGATGCGCTTGGCCCGCACGCCTTGATTCAGCCAATAGCGCGAGAGGTTGATGAGATACTGCGGGTGGAAAAAGTAGACGGCCTGCTGGGATTCAAAGTCATCCATGGCGTACCGGACCCGGATGGAGACTTCCGTGTTGCGGGTGTTGTAAAAGGCCGGAAGCAGCACGGAGGCGTTTTCATATGTTTGCAGGAAATTATAAAAGGGCTTCCTCCACTTCTCCAGTTTGTGGAACCTGATGATGGGGCAGGAAAGAGAGAAATTAATTACAAAATAACAGAAGAAAGCTCCAACAAGGTAGCCATAGATGGGGCCACACTCCTCCAAAAAACTGTATCCACATCTAAGAAGAAGGGCTCCTGGATTTGTCTCTCCAAATGTCAGCCCAGGTACATGGGAAGGTAAGGAGTGCTTACTACCAGCTTCAGCTGATACACACAAGCTGTGCTCCTTCCTAGATTTGGAGGACCTAAAGATACTGGTAATCTCAAGGTTGGATTTCTGAAATGCATTTTACATTGGATCACCTCTGTGCTGAATTCAGAAACAATTAGTTCAAAACATGGCAGCCAGACGTGTTACATTAACATCTAGGAGTGAGCATATTACACCTATACTAAAGTCACTCCACTGGTTGCCAATCAGTTTCCCAGCAAAGGACAAAGTTTTGACCTTTAAATCCCTATATGATTTGGGTCCAGGTTACCTACAGGATCACCTTCTCCTGTACAATCTACCCACACACTTATGACCTCTGTGGGATGGCTACTCCAACTAAAAAGAACCCAACTGGCAACTGTCACTCAGAGGACCTTTTCATCAACCACCCCAAAATTGTGGAATGACCTGCTCTAAGAGTTCCAAATGCTAAATCAGCTGTCAGATTTCAAGATGCAAATGGAGGTCTATTTCTTCCAGCAGGCCTAGCCAGTCAATTTTAACTTGTTAATTTAACCTACATGTTATTGGTGTGGTCTTCTGTATTCCTTTATATGTGTTTTAATAGTGCTGTGTTGTATCACTCGGCTGGTCCAGGAGGTCACGAAGAGTCAGAAACAACTGAACAAATGAACAACAAAGTTCTTCACTTTCCCAGGGGCCTTACACCCCTAAGCCCAGACTCTTTCACACAACAGCACCAGCTTCAGGTTTTGTGCTCCCCATCTCGGATGCCTACTAGGTGATTCCATGATATACTATCCCCAGAATTTAGAAAAAGTGAGATTTATAATAGAATTTGGTCACACCTGCAGTTTCACATAAGTGTGGTCCATCTAGGGATTTATCTCTCATAGATACAGGGGTCTTACTGTACCTATTTGTATGTGTTCTCACTTTGTCCAACCATGGGAAGCTAACTTACAAAATGTGAACAGACTGGCATCCCTTTCATACATGTTTCCCTTGCAACTGGTATTTAAATCAGACTCCCCCTGAAACTGGAGGTTATGCGTAGATTTCATGACTATAGGGCATGTCACTGCTATTGTGAGGTTCAGCTTCGGAGGCCTTAAGACAGAATGGGTGGAGTTATATTTGGAATATTTCTTGTAGAACAAAGGATAAAAGAAGGCCTCTTTTGAACCTTTTCTTTCCTTTGATAAGAACACTCAAATTATTCTGATTTCCAGTTGCTATGAAATTATCGGGTTGAGAGCATGCACCACCAGAATTAATAATACAGCACGGTCTCTCCTTTTCAGAGGTTCTCTCAAAAAGGCAGAAGGGAAACGTGGGCAAAAGTGGGCACCGGGCAAACCGCTGACCTTTCGGTGATTATGCTGGGATTAACTGTCACAATGTCAGTCTTTACTCCAACGTCAGCAATGTATTTCTCGGAGATGGGAGGCAAATTACACCTAAAGGAAAAGAACAGAACAACAAACAGGTTATTTATATTTCTCTTGTTACCAAGGAGTTTGGTAAGTTTCGCCTTGCCTTCATTTTATCCAAAGGACCCAGTGAGGCTAAAACAAAGAGAATGCAACTGTGATTCAACTTAAAAGGGACTTATTCACCCAGATCTTTCTGATTCAAACCTAGTATATAAAGCAATTTGGCTACTAGGGTTGGATAGGTTCATTTGGAAGAGACTGAAATTAGGAATAAAACATATGAATTTGGACATCTGATGCAGTTTTGAACCAAGCAGGAAAGGTTGGGGGGGGGGGGAATCCGAATTTGAACCACTAATTTTTTTTTGAAAACTCCTATAATATTCTGATGTCTCCCAAGGTTATTTTAATTTTCACAAGTTAATTTTCACAAGGGAATTTTCTAAAATCTCATGCCTTCCGCACCGCAGTTGATGCAAGGAGGAAGTGGTGGGCATGGCTAATCACAGCCATCTTTAACTGTAGTAGTTTGGAAAGGCCAAGCCCTAATGGTAGAGATTGCAAAAGGTCCTGTTGTTAAACTACATTGCACACAATGCTTTCCTGCTCATCAGCCAAAATGGCTGAAGGACCCCAAAATAGCTGTCTGTAGCAGTCTTCTAAATATAAAATAAACTGATTGAATCTACAAAGGTGTCTAAAGAAGGCAGCAAAGCAATAAGCAACTTTTGCAAAGCTAAGAGAACATAAACTGCTTAAAAAACAATCATTTTACTTTGGCCTGATTGCCATGAACAAGGCACTGGGATAGCCAGCCACAACCCGCCAGCCCTTTACGTCAGTAAGTAATGATAAAATAAAATTATTGATTGCATCTGCAAAAAGGAATAAATAGATGGATGTGTCTTGAGGGTCCCCTCCAACTCAGTAGAGAAAGCAAATGAATGTCAGGAGAGTTTGGATGGTGCCTTTCCACCCAGAAGAAGGGAGTCAGTCTAGATGTCCCTTGATGGGGCCTGTACTATGATTTCTGTTCTCCACCAATTTAACACAGTCTGTGCCATACAAACAAAGGTTCTGGAGTAGAACAACTACTTTCAAAGTAAAGATCACCCAATGAAACAGGAAATAACACTTTCAAACCAGGAACAGATTTTCTCTATTATTAAAAAATGTTTTTTTAATAAAACCTTTGAAAATTCACCTAAAATCCATGGATAAGTCAAAGGTTATGAAATTTGGTGATCTAACAGTAGTCCATGTGTTCTACTACTGTAGCAAGTTTCATCAGGATTGGTCTAAAATGAGGGAGGGAGAATCCCATGAAGTTTCCCCAGTGCCAGTGCTGGGTTTTTTTCCTACTGTGCATGTGTGTCCACATTAATGAATTAATTCGGAAGTTTAGAAGTTTCAGAAAGTTTTGATTTTTTTTTGAAAAATCGGAAAGTGACTTTAGAATTGAACCACCAGTGCCTCCTACATCCAAAACAATTCTGAACCTTTTTTTTCTGGATCAGCCAAGCCTATTGACTACCTTTGTGTAGAGAATGGGCCATAAATGAATAACAAAAGTAGAATATTTAAAATGGGATTCTGGTAAATGACCCAAGAATAGTCCACATGATGGAGAAAGCCATAGCTCCATGGTAAAACGTATGCTTTGCATGCAAAAAGTCCTAAGTTCCAGTCCTTTATATCTCCAGATCTCATCAGATCAATTCCTTCTGGTGCTACTAGTCCCAGAATCTCCATCCAGCACTGCTGCTGCATAGACTTAACATTGGTTGGAGAGGCTAAAGTCATTGGAATTTAGATATACTTTTGTTTTGATAATCTAAAGTATATGTCAGACATTAATATGCTTTCAGTGATAATAAATGCATTATGTTTTATGAAACATATGATAAGTTGAATGTGGCTTATTCAAAATGCTCAGACCCAGAAGCATTTCAGAATATCTGTATTTGCATATATGTACATAATGAAATATTTTAGAGATTTGATTCATGTCTAAACATGAAATGCCTTTATGTTTCATATACACTTAGAATCATAGAATCATAGACTCAAAGACTTGAAAGAGACCTCATGGGCCATCCAGTCCAACCCCCTGCCAAGAAGCAGGAATATTACATTCAAATCACCCCTGACAGATGGCCATCCAGCCTCTGTTTAAAAGCTTCCAAAGAAGGAGCCTCCATCACACTCTAGGGCAGAGAGTTCTGCTGCTGAACGGCTCTCACAGTCAGGAAGTTCTTCCTCATGTTCAGATGGAATCTCCCCTCTTATACACATAGCCATTGTATATCTTATATACAATGTTCTGAATGATATTACACATTTAAATAGGTTCCTATGCATTGAACCACTATCTCAGCTACTCATGTGGACAATTTCAGACTATGGAGTATTTCAGATTTCCAAAGAAGAGATGCTCAACTGTTTAAAAATTATTATAAAATATAGAACATATGAATGTGAGAAGAGATCTGTTGGGTCAGTCAACAGACCTATCTTGTTCTCCTCACACAGTGGCCAGCCATGAAAATATAAAAATAAAATGCAAATACAACAGCACATTTCTATTCATCTTCTCCAGAAAATGCATCTATTCTTGTCTATACTGTGTCATCATATGATGTCCCAATTCCTATGATTTTCTTACCATGGAAAAACCATATTAGTAGAAATCCTTGGCTAAATGGACCTTGTATACCTTCTGTAGTGAATGGTTAGGTCTTTAGTAAACATTTTAAAGGGATTTTCAGCTGTTTCTCAAGCTTTGAAACATAAAGGAAATGGTCCAACATTTCAGAAGTTGCTGGACTGCACTCCCAGCAGACCTAGCTTACATAGCCAATGGTGAGGAATTTTGGGAGCTGGAGTGCAACATCTGGAAGCCCACAGGATGCCCACTTCTGACCCAAACAAATCTTCATAGTTGGTTCACTGTGATGAGTAATTAGAAGAATCAGCAGTGAGAGCAAACGTTGCTTATGATTTCTATTAATGCTTAGGGTTTCTTTCAATATAGTCAGCCCTACGTATCCACAAATTCTTTATCCATGGGTTCCACCATCCATGGCTTGAACAATAGAGGGTGCCATTTTACTATATTGTATGTAGTGCGACTTGAACATCAATAGATTCTGAAATCCATGGGAGTTTCTGGAAGCAAAACCCAGCGGATACCGGGGACCCACTGCATTTCCTTTTTTTAATTATAATTATAATAATAAATAGGCTTGACTGAACAAGACATGTCCCATGAACTCTTGCCTCATCCCAACTGAGCTGTGCTTTTCTCATCTGAACTCTAGGTGGAGCCAAGCAGCTGACGGAGCAGACTTTCTGCCTTCAGGGGAATGTAGGAAACTCAATGCAAGGTAGAGCTTTAGCCTCACCAAGCATGCACCACATTTTTCTTGCAATTGTACAACAATGCAGATGGATGTAAGCAAAGGTGGGCAATCTGTCCCTCAAGAAAAATTGTCTGTCCTTACTGATGAAATAATTTTACTCCAGATCAAGCTTTTTCTCCTTCTAACCTAGCATTGTCTCATATGGGCTCCTTAGGCTCACCAGCTCAAAACAAAATATTGCTTTCTGTTCATGTAATGGCAAACCAGTTGACTATGGGAAGCCCACAGAAAGGGCATGAATACAGTGTTATCTTTCTGGGTTTCCAATGGCAGCGACTTGTTTCCAAATTGGTGGAGCAGTGAATTCATTTAGAGTTTGAGGAGCTATGGGTTGAGCACTTTGGACAGCTCCAAAGATGAAACCTTATAGTGATGAAGCTGAAGCAACCAGCCATCTCTGCAAGCTTCTCTAAGCCAGCACCTTACAGATATTTTTCACTTTTGCTCTTACTATCCTCAATCATGCACCATGTCTTGGATGATAGGCACTGCATTATAGCACATTTTGAAGTTGGCAGATTGGAAAATACTAGTTTATTAGCAATGGGGTTCCCTGTAAACTTGTGCAAAACATATGCTCTGACACTGAGCTATTATAATAACACTCTATTTGTATTCCATCCTTCTTCTTGAGGGGACTCAAAGCAGATTACAATATATCAAGACACAGGCAAACATTCAATGCCTTGTTACAGTGAAATACAATAACAAATACATAGGCATTTCATTTCCAGCTCTTGAAAGTGGCGCTCATCTCTGGCTCTGGGAGAGATGCTCATTTCCATTTCCAAGCTGAAGAGCCTGTGCTGTTCATAGACACCTCGTCATGTAGCTGACATGACTACATAGAGGTTTTTTTTACCTTTCCCACCGAAGCAATACCTATTGATCTACTCACATTTGAATGTTTTTGAACTGCTAGGTTGTCAGAAGCTAGGGCTAACAGCAGGACCTCACCCCATCCCATGGATTCAAACTGCCAACCTTCAGGTCAGCAGTTCAACAGCACAAGGGCACAATTTAAAAATAATGAGATTGGAAAGGGGGGGGGGGAATTGGGGCTGCGAGTGGTGCAATAGGTTAAACTTTCCAATCTCATTATTTTTAAATCATTGTAATCCCACTGTTTTATCAAGCTATTGCAACACAACATGCAAAGGAATCTTGTCAAATCTTAGAGACTAACTCACAAAGGTGCAACAAGATCACTTTGTAGACTGATATTCCAGACTAACATCATTAGGTCCTGGAGATCAGTGTAAACCATTAAAACAATTCCAAATGAAAAATGTAAATGAGATAAAACCTCAATCTCTTGATAATGCACAAAAATGGTGTGGTGTAGTGGTTTGAGCACTGGACTACAACTCTGGAGACCAGGACCTCAAATCCATACTTGGCCATGAAAACACACTGGGTGACTTGGGGCAAGTCACATACTCTAAGACTCAAAGGAAGGCAAAGAAACAATCAGAGACAGCTAACACCTCCTAACAAAGGATTCCCCCAGGCAGGAGGCAACCAGGCTTTGAAGCCGCAAGGCACTTCAATGCTAATCAAGGTGACCAATTGCAACATTCACACATGCTTCCAGCAGACAAGAGTTCTTTCTCCCACCCTGGACATTCCACAGATATATAAACCTCACTTGCCTAGTTTCCAACAGATCTCACAACCTCTGAGGTTGCCTGCCATGCTGGTGAAACATCAGGAGAGAAGGCCATAAAGCCTGGAAAACTCACAGCAACCCACAAGACAGAGACAATTCCCCCCCACAAACAAATCTAACTAAGGAAACTTCATGATAAGTTTGCCTTAGAATCACCCTAAGTTGAAAACGACGTAAAGACATGCAACAAGAAGGCTGAAACCTTGTAGTTCTCCATGAGTAGAGTCATAGGGAAAGAAATGGGTCCTACCACCTCCAAAGTTGCCCTGTGACTGATTGATAGTCTGATCCATTGATTTTAGATCATCAGCTTTAGACGTGCTTCACTTCATGAAACATTACATGCCATTAAAAGCATCAGGCTACCCACAATTGGCGACTGGTTCCTTCTGCATCATCACTACCAAACTCACTGTAAACAATTCTCCCACTTATCTGGATCTGTGATGAAAACATTTTGGAATTCCTCCAAAATATCTACAGTCAGCTTACATTCAGCCTCCCTAGGATAAAGAAATCAACAGCAGAAGCTTAACCTCTAACATTCGTATTGAGGAGAAGCATGTTCTTGTTTCAAAGGCAACAAAATCAACACTGCTTCCAATTTTTCAGCCTTTGAACTTTTGTTTATCTGATGAGCCAACTATTTGGGAGATAACAGAGTGTCAGAATAAGTGAGGCTGTAATAGTCAGCCACTGGAAGATCAAATCTGGCCCTTGGAGAGAATGCCAATTTGGGGGTGAATGGATGCCTGTGCCAAATGGCTGATCTTTCAAGAAAAATAAAGTGGAGGCAAACAACCCGTCCCTCGTTGGTTTCTCAAAGTGAGTGTAGACTAGGATTCTAAGATGAAAGTTCAAATCTCCACTTGATATTGTAAACCCATTTCTTTTTCCATGCCAGGAGCGACTTGAGAAACTGCAAGTCTCTTCTGATGTGAGAGAATTGGCTGTCTCCAAGAATGTTGCCCAGGAGTCATCCAGATGTTTTACCATTCTGTGGGAGGCTTCTCTCATGTCCCCACATTAGAAGCTGGAGCCGACAGATGGGAGCTCACCCCACTTCCCATATTCAAACAACCAACTTTTTGGTTAGCAGTCCTGCTGGCACAAGGGTTTAGCCCATTGTACCACTGGGTGACTGATGGAGTGCAACTTGTCTCAAAGCAACACAACAGTTGTTGCTAAGAAAACCTCAGAACAGGTTTGGCTTAAGGATTCCATACTTCAGAAACACTGTGAGGACACCAATCTGTCTTTTGACCTGTTAATTAACACTTAGATATAGATAGCTTAATAAGCAAATATATGTTTATTGATGTTGTTGTTGTTGTTGTGTGTCTTCAGGTTGTTTCCAGCTTACAGCAACCCTAAGGCAAACCCACTGCAAGGTTTTCTGAGGCTGAGAACATGTGATGCCCAGGAAATGCATGTGCAAAGCCAAAGCACTGACGCACTCATTGGTCATTCTTGAATATCGTTTAGGTATACAAAAAGGCATCGTGCCGAGACAATTACCGGAACACAAAATCTGCACTGTCGATCTCCCGTCCACATCGGCTGTTCTTCAGAATCCCTCCATTTCCAACCACAGCACATTTTTTAAACTGGGAACGAGAGTATGGCATCTCCTATGGAAAGATGGGACAACCCAGATAGTTAATACTAGCAATATATGAGGATATTTTCCGTCATGCACTAGGATATATTTAAAAGCAATGGTTCTTAACTTTCCTAATGCCTCATCCCTTTAATACAGGTCCTCATGTTGTGATGACCCCCAATCATAAAATTATTTTCATTGCATCTTTATCACTGTAATTTTGCTACTGTTATGAATCATAATGTATCTCATAGGCAGGATGTATTTTCATTCACTAGAACAAATTTTGCACAAATACCCGATATACCCAAAATTGAATACTGGTGGGGTTGGAAGGGGATTGATTTTGTCATTTGGTAGTTGTAATTGCTGGGATTTATAGTTCCCCTACAATCAAAGAGCATTCTGAACTCCACCAAAGATGGAATTCACCTACACTTGACACACAGAACTCCCATGACCAACAGAAAATACTGGAAGGGTTTGGTGGGCATTGACTTTGAGTTTTGGAGTTGTAGTTCACCTACATCCAGAAAGCACTGTGGACTCAAACAATGATGGATCTGGACTAAACTTGGCATATTTATTTTTTTGTCATGTCAAGAGCAGACTGAACAGTTGCATTGCATTTTTTAACTAACAAACAGACAGACAGACAAAATACAAAGTTTGCAAGCTTGGTAGTTGATTAAATGTCCTTTGACCAGTATCTGGCCACTTGGAGTGCCTCTGATGTTGCTGCAAGAAGGTCCTCCATTGTGCATGTGGCAGGGCTCAGGTTGCATTGCAGCAGGTGGTCAGTGGTTTGCTCTTCTCCACACTCACATGTTGTGGATTCCACTTTGTGGCCCCATTTCTTAAGATTGGTTCTGCATCTCGTGGTGCCAGAGCACAGTCTGTTCAGCGCCTTCCAAGTCGCCCAGTTTTCTGTGTGCCCAGGGGGGAGTCTCTTGGCATGAATCCTCAGTATGCCCAAATGTGGCCACTGGTGAAGTTTGGGGAAAATAGACCTTGAGATTTGGGAGTTGTAGTTGTTTGGATTTATAGTTCACCTACAATCAAAGAACCCCTTGAACGCCTGCTCTCCCCACCCCCACCCCCGCTTGGAGTCTCAGAAATAGCTCTCCCCTTGACTGAGAGGCCAGCTAAGAGACCAGCCAATCACTGCTGGAGGAGGGCTTTTGGTGGGAGAATTTGCTAGCTGTTTCCAAAAAGGAAGAGAAACATGTGTTTTCTGATGGTCTTTGGTAACCCCTCTGAAACACCCCTTGCGACCCTCCCAAAGGTCCCAACCCCCAGGTTGAGAAACACTGTTTAAAGGTTACGTATTTTATTTGGCATAAAATGTATAAATCTATGAAATCCACTTCTCCACACAATAGTGTATGCTACTTAATCCAAGAAATTGTTTGTTTACTTGTTTTACAAAAATCTGCAAAGACTCTACAGCCATCCTTCCACAATGGTGGACTGAACAGTTTTTACTTGTTTATTGTCTCTCCCCATTGTGCTGCTCAGGCTTCCTCTTGGTCAGTCTCAAGGTAGTCTTAAATCGAATACTATTAAGATTACCTTGTATTCATATATGGTTTTATTGTACATATGGGCAAGTGTGTATGTTTTGTATGTGCTGCATGTTTTGATATGGTCAAAATTGACTAATCAATAAAGAATTGTATTGTTTATTGTGACTTTAATTGACATGTTTTCATAATTGTATATTTCATTCTATTTTAATATTTATATTTTGTAGTTTTAAAGGTATTGCTTTTAAGGTTGTGACCTGCTTTGGGTCTAGATCAAGAGAGATCAAGAGATGATGATGATGATAATAATTATCATTATCATCATCATCACTGTATTTTCTACTTCCACCTTACTACACTCTATACAACCAAAAATATGTTCTCTGGGCATGTCTAGATCAATAGTAGATCAATGGGTACCACTCCAGTGGTAAGGTAATGGCGCTCCATGCAGTCATGCCGGCCATACGACCTTGGAGGTGTCTACGGACAATGCCGGCTCTTCGGCTTAGAAACGGAGATGAGCACCACACCCAGAGTCGGACATGACTGGACTTCATGTCAGGGGAAAACCTTTACCCTTTACCTTAGGCATGTCTAGGTCCTCCAGCACAAATATAATCAACTTCCATAGCAACTTGACCATAGAATTGCACCGGAAGACCAAGAAATACTTAGGGAAGTTTTCTCTTACAGTAAAAACAAATTACAGGTTTTTATATCTATAACCCTTTGCCCTCATGAACATTGGAGGCCTTCTCTATTTCAATCTGCATTTTATGAACCACTGTGAAAAATGGCTGCTCCTCAGTTTGAAAGAGGTGCACGGTGGTTTGTACCGAACAGTTATATAATGGAGGGCAATTGTGCCCTAAAAGTCCATTCTGAATCATTTCGTGCAGAAAAATATTAATTTGGAGCAGCTCTGATTGCAAAGAAGGGACCAAGTTCAGCAGCAACATGCAGGCTTTGCAAATGTCAAGTCTCCAGTTCTAATCTCCAGCATATCTTGTGTTGCGGAGCTGGGAAAGTCCTCTGGCGGAGACCTTGGAGAGCTGCTGACAGTGTCAGATGGAGATGGATGAATGGTCTGAGTCAGGAGCTCCTTATAACTGCTGGCAATGGAGAGACCTGCTTATATAAGCATGCAAACGCAGCCATTAATGCATGCATAGTTTATGAGCAACTTTACAACTGGAAAACAAAAGTACACCCAAAGGAAGGAAGTGATGTGAAATGGGTTTCTTTTTTAAAAAAAAATGTTTATTTATAGGACACATTGCCCATCAGCGCTCATCAAGGCAGCCATCGTGAAGCAGCTAATAAACAGTCTGCTCAGTCTGATTTTGGAATGACTAGACAAAAGGCCGTCAGCATAAAAATGAGAGCTGACATATGAATCACACGCATGTTGATCATTTCTGCTTGTTAACCAAGACTTGGCTTGTTGTGCCCTGAGCAAACCATATCTGCAAGTGGAAAAGTGACCAACAACCACTTTGCTAGATGCCCAGCTGCAAATTAAGTCCGTCCGTGCAGTTTCTGACCCTTCACAACCCTCCCTTTCTATTTTTCAAATTCACCAGAATTAATGCAATGTTAATTATGGTTGCCATTTTGGATTATTTTCATTGTTCTTTGAGCATGGGATAAAGATTGGACCTTCCTGGGAATGGGTGGGTTAAACTGCTGCATTGGTATGTTTGGAGACAGTTTTCAGGCAAAAGCTGCCCCAAAATTAGTGGAGGCAAAAAATTAATTTCCAGCTTTTGATAGATCACGGATATAGGGCATAATGTCTACATGGAGACCATTAGTAACAACTTTCTACACCTCTCCTGGAGTTTAGCTTTTGTTGGAAACCATCCCGAGTCCCCCCAAGGGGATAGGTCAGGTTATACATTAATAATAATAATAATAATAATAATAATAATAATAATAATAATAGAATCATAGAATCAAAGAGTTGGAAGAGACCTCATGGGCCATCCAGTCCAACCCCATTCTGCCAAGAAGCAGGAATATTGCATTCAAATCACCCCTGACAGATGGCCATCCAGCCTCTGTTTAAAAGCTCCAAAGAACCCCCCCCCCCCCCCCCCCCCCCCCCACCCCCCCCCCCCCCCCCCCCCCCCCCCCCCCCCCCCCCCCCCCCCCCCCCCCCCCCCCCCCCCCCCCCCCCCCCCCCCCCCCCCCCCCCCCCCTCCCCCCCCCCCCCCCCCCCCCCCCCCCCTCCCCCCCTCCCCCCCCCCCCCCCCCCCCCCCCCCCCCCCCCCCCCCCCCCCCCCACCCCCCTCCCCCCCCCCCACCCCCCCCCCCCCCCCCCCCCCCCCCCCCCCCCCCCCCCCCCCCCCCCCCCCCCCCCCCCCCCCCCCCCCCCCCCCCCACCCCCCCCCCCCCCCCCCCCCCACCCCCCCCACCCCCCCCCCCTCCATCAAATCACCCATGGCCATCCAGCCTCTGTTTAAAAGCTTCCAAAGAAGGAGCCTCCACCACACTCCGGGTCAGAGAGTTCCACTGCTGAACGGCTCTCACAGTCAGGAAGTTCTTCCTTATGTTCAGATGGAATCTCCATTATTATTATTATTATTATTATTATTATTATTATTATTATTATTTGGTTGGTTGCATGCTGCACGTCTGTTTGGCTGGTATTGCACCACCTGACATCCATTGGGAAGTAGCAGCCAATATGAAAGGACCAAGGCAGTGACATCTCCACCCTTCCTCTGTTCAGATATCAGCAGCATCCAATGCTTAAATCAAGAAATAGTTTCTAAGATCTACAGAGATACTCGCAGGAATACCTCAGCAAGTGAGAGTCCAAAAGTGGCAGGCTAAAACCAGAACCTCAAGCCATGGCTGATACCGAATGAGAGATCCCCCCTGGGCACACAGAAGACTGGCAACTTGGAAGGCACGAACAGACTGCGCTCTGGCACCACGAGATGCAGAGCCAAACCTAAGAAATGTGGGTGTGGAGAAGAGGAAACCACAGACCACCTGCTGCAATGCAACCTGAGCCCTGCCACATGCACAATGGAGGACCTTCAAGTGACACCAGAGGCACTCCAAGTGGCCAGCTACTGGTCAAAGAATATTCAACATAATGCCAAGTTTGTTTTAAATACATTTTAACTGTACCCTCAATTTGCTTCTGACATAATATATAAATATTATTATTATTTGATACACAGTAAGATTAGTACACAGCAAACAAGATCACTATGTGGGCTTTTGTATTTGATCACACATCGGACCCTTCCCAAGTGTCTAGGACTGTGTGATGTATCGGCGAATAATGTGTGAAATCCTATTTGGAGCTTGGACATCTAACATTTTGGACTACAACTCCTAAAACCTCCAACATAGAAACTATAAATATTACAAAGGACTTTTCCAAACTCTCAATCTATCTTGGATGCCCACGTAGCTCAATGGTATAACTCAGGCACGGCCGAACTTTGGTCCTCCAGGTGTTTTGGACTCCAATTCCCACAATTATTAACAGCTGGTAGGCTGTTGGGAATTGTGGGAGTTGATGCCAAAAACACCTGGAGGGCCAAAGTTTTCCCATGCCTGGTATAGCTGAAGTTCATAAACATTTTTTTTACTATGTCTCCTAGAAACCCCTATTCTGACTCTGGTTGGTGGAGGATACTGGGAGTTGTAGTATAACATTCCCAAGCTTTCTGATCCTCCTGTTATATAACCTTCCTTCCAGACTCTTTGACTCCTCCATATCAGTGCAATTGTGGATCCATTCTAGAGCATAGACCAAACTTTACAGCAGTTGTTCCCAATTCCCCAACCAGGCCCAGTACCTTGGAGAGCTTCTTTAAAGTTCTGACTAAAACCCAGATCAGTTTTACCTGGCCACAGACACAGGAGCAGCTTCAGCGATGCTACTATAACTGGAGTTCACAGACTAGCCTCTGAATACATTGTGAGGAATAATGATGCATGTGGCTGGGAACTTTATTATTGTTAATACATTTTTGGCAGCACACAGTGATCATCAACCACTATCCTATTTCCATAACTGCATCCCAGTCATTTTCCACATGATGCAACAAGCTAAATATAGGTCATACTGGCTGCCACCTTCTACTCAGGAAAGTGGGAGCAAAGAAATAGCTCATGTGTCTGATCAGGACAGTTATGGAAAAGGTCATTCCAATGTGTGGATGTCAGATTTGGACACTGAAGAAGAGATGTGACACTGAAGGAGAGTTCTCAGCATAGCATGGGCCACCAAGAAGGCAAAGACATGGGCCCAAGTGCAAAACAAGCTCTGACTCTTACCAGAAGCCCAAATGACTAAATGAAGTTAACATAACAGAGTAATATCATGTAATAGCACAACTCGTTGTGAAAAAAAATGACAATGCTCACTCAATTGGAAGGCAGTAGGAAAAGAGGAAGGTGCACAACAGGTGGGTTCATTCTATCAAGGAAGTTACAGTCCTGAGTTTGCAAGACCTTAAATAACAGGACCTCTTTGAGCTCTCGTTCATAGGGTTGCCATAAGTCAAAGGCAACTTGATGGCACAAAACAGCAACTACATAAACAACAACAGCAATTGCAATGTGCAAGAAAGCAATGTTTGTAAATAAAATGGCCATAAGCACACTTAGGTACTGCACCTGTGGAAACATTTTGAATGTTTCTTGGTTGACGTGGAAGATTCCACTTGTATCCACCTCATATTTCAGTTTTGTTCCTAAGGGAGTGTTCTTCTGAGTGGTGAATAGGAAGGCTGGGGCATTACAGCACCTTAACAACGTAGCTCTAGGGAGAGATCAAGACACAGGAAAGGCGAAACGTCAGGAGAAATGCCTCTAGAACATGGCCCTATAGCCCGAAAAAACCTACAAGAACCTAATGCTGAAGATGTGGGAAGGCCCTTTGATGGCCTCCTTAAATAAAGTCATAAGTGTCATGGCTCATGCCAACAATGAGGCAATGGAGAAAGATTACTCCTCCAGCATTTGTGTTGGACTTAAATATAGAGCAAGAGCATGCACAGCCAGATACAGAAGAGCCCACCACTTTGGAACAGGAATAACAGCAACCCCAAGTAGACAATGAAAGTCTTACAACACCTCTAGGCTCACAGCAAGAGCAGGATTGAGATCTTGAGCTGAGAGTCCAGGGTTAGTTATTCCAGACTGGCTGTTTTACAGAGATTCACTGGGCAGGACTCTAAAAACAAGTAAAAAGCATCTGACAGACATGTCAGGATGCAACACATGCAGTGGGCAGAGCTGGGAAACTACTTAACCTATTCTGTCCCATCATGAACAGAGAAGGAAAGAGAGGAAAAGGAGGAGGAAAAACGGCACAAACCCTGCCACACTTTTTTTAGAAAAGTCAAACACTTATCCCAGTAATTTTCCACCGGCTATTTACTTGTGGCTCATAGATGTGATACCCCTGCAGACTGTTCATGGTGCACAAATGTACAGTGACACAGTAACTGCTTGTTCAAAAATGTCTAATGTTTCTGACAACACTGTCTAAAATATCGACCCTCAGTTAAATTCCACATCAGAGAAATATACTTTTAAAGAACATGTACATTTACAAATATTTTTTTCTAATGTACTCTTATAGACCAGGAAAGGTCTTTTAAAAAATCAGGAAGTAAATTTGTAGTTTAAGGAAATATTTTCTTTTTGTAAAATAATACCATGGAGTCCTTTTTTGGGCTATTCACATTCCCACTCCAAAAAGTCAGGCAAAACATTTCCATTTTATTTCTTGACCAGGCAGTATAGTTACACATGTTAATTTGTTCTCTAATCATGCAAGTCCAACACCTTAATAATTGTTTTCCCCCTAGCACTAGGTTTCAACGTTGATATGATTTTTAAAATTGCTGCTCTTTTGAGATAATTAGTATAATGTCCTCGATTTGGAATAAAAAGATACAAATTCAAATCCTTGCTTGGTCCTGTAATTTACAATGTGAATTTAGGCCATCACTATTTTTAGGAAATTTGTTTCAAATGCTTTTTTTCATGGTTAATAGTAAAGTGGAATCATGCGAAGTGACTGTGGCCCCTTCTACACAACTGTATAAACTCCAGATTATCTGCTTTGCACTGGAATATAAGGCACTGTAGACTCAGAAAAGGTTTTATTCTATGATTTTGTAGTCTCATTTTTAAATGTTTAAATTATACACTGTTTGTGGTATCAAATGGCTGCCGGTTGTAAGCCGCCTTGAGTCACCTCCGGATTTCAGAAAGGCAAGATAGAGATAGCATAAATAAATAAATAAATAATACCTTGAGTTATGATCTCTGACTTTCTCCTAATGGAAATCCTCCTTTGCAATTATCTTATGTGCATCTGTACAAAATAAGCCCATTCAAAGTAGAGTTGAAGTTCATTGTGACATCAGCGGCTAGTAGATCAGTATTCTTTGTTCTTTCCCTGTTAGACTACTTAAACATACCAATGTCACAATAATAGACCAGGCCATGTAGCAGATCACAGGTTAGTAAACTCTTGGATCAAGAGTTAATATTTTGAACCATAACCCCCCAATCCTGCAACCAAAGCCAACCTGGCCAGTGGCCATGCTACCAAGAGGATGTCAGCAGCTTAAATCCAAGAAGGTTATTCTACCATATTGCATGGCAAATTTTGAGTAGCAGTTTGAGTAGCAGAAAAGTATAGTGTGTGTGTGTGTGTGTTTGAGGGACACAGGATTACCCACTTCCAGGCCATAAACAGTCTTGACTGTTTTCCACCATATTTCAACATGAATTCACATCTATAGTCATTATATATTTTGGAAAGGAATTGAAACCTAGAATTTTACCACACAAAGCCACTATTCCACAGCAGTTGTACAATCGCTGATAACATACAATCATAGTAACATAATAGGATGAGCATGCTCATTATTACATCTCTTGGCATTCATGCAATTGCATCAATTCACTAATTTGTGGTCTCATGTCACCTCCTCACTTTTGCTGCTCTGCAATATGTTTATTTTTTTAAAAAAAATCACAATTATATCAAAGGTTGGTTAAAAATTAAACTTTAAATGAAAGAGTTAATGTCTCAGGAATTGCAATGGAGAGAAGGAGAGGAGGAGAACCCCCCTTCTCTACCATAGCTCACTCCATACAGTATTATACCAGATAAGTGGCAGGAACATGGCATGATCTGTGGTTATTGACACGTTTTCTGTCAATAGCAGGGAATGGGTTTATCATGCCAGATCTATGTTAACATTAACTGTGTAAATTGGTTTAAACTACACATAAATATAATGAAGAAAATGCATAGGGTATAAGTCTAAATGCTACTCAGTAATTTCCCTCTAGAGTTTTCTTGAGGCTTGAGAGTTATAAATTCACTCTTCCAAATGATATATATTCCTTTTACTCGTGACGGCGGTGAGTAACTTCACTCTTTTGTCAGAACTCTCACAACAAATGATAAGTATTAAGAAAATATTTATACAGTCTTTGAAGTGATGAATTTAATACTGGAGTAGTCCTTGAGAAAGTAAACTGAAGTCCAAAATAATGTCCATATAGTTCAAAATACTGTCCGACAAGGATCCCTGGGTTGAGATGCCTTGTTTTGGGCAACTTCCCCTTCTTCAGGATTTCTATAACTTCTTCATAAGAGAGTGTGATTCATAATAAATCCCTAAATGGATGAGAGCAAACAACTTAATAGATATGCCAAAAAGGCACCCAAAGCAAACATTCAATAATGATAAAGTAATTATATACATTCCAATAAGATATATTACATGCATGTTATTACTTACTTTATCTACAGTATGAAGATAATCCAGTTCAAAGCAGATAATGTGGATTATCTGCTTTGATCATCTGGATTATATGGCAGTGTAGAAGGAGCCTGAGAATATTCATGGCATGGTAATCTTTTGAAAGGTACTTGTAATGCTGTTGTTATTGGGCTGCATTATCTGACATTGGTGCCTTCCAAAGTCATTTTATTGCCTGAAGTGGAGAACAAGATATTCCTATTCTCTACTAAATCCAAATCTAAAACCCAGCCAAGCTTACTATTTAATCTTACTTCAAGATGGATGGCAGGACATTGTCTTCCAGTGTACCTGAAGAAAGAAGTTAGACTGCTTTGCACACACAGCTCAATATTTCCTTGCCCTAAACTTCTACCACCCGAGAGGCTGGCAACAGTTGCCATTGTAGTCAGTTAGTCTTAAGATTTCTTCTGAACTGATCTGTGAAACTGAAGTACTTTGTGAAAGCAATGGCATTCTAGTGACCTAACCTGGGATGTTTTTACAGCCATTATGCCTTGGTGTAAACAGAAGGAGGTCTGCACCACAAGGGAAAACAAAAAAAGAAAAAGGTAGAAGCCAATTTCAAGAGTGATATACAAAATGGTTGTCAGATTTACTGACACATTTGAGCACACGTTGTGTTCCTTCCCAGGGGAAACTGCTTGAAATCTACTTGGTAACAGAAGTTAAATGGGTGCTGTGACATAATTCTATTTCTAGCAGCTACAACTGAACAGGTCACCATTGTCAAGATTTTACAAGTGTAGCAGTATCAAAAATAACTGCTTTCTCCAGGTTTTACAAGTTGATGCTTGGAAGGCATTTTCCATGAGATAATTAATTGCTATGTGTATCCATATTGTAAGAGATGAAAAGTCTGGAATCTCTCCTTGTTGGGTTTTTTCATTTATCTTATATGATCTATCTCTTGTTAAGCAGGGGTTTTTAAAAAAAAATTTTATTAACCACAAAAGAAATGCTATATACATAAGTAGAGGTGGAACAATATAGTGAAAGAAAAGTAGGAAATAAAGATGTATAAGTCTTAACAAAAACTACTTCATTCTTTTCTTTAAACCAGATTCTTTACAGCGATTCAACTTGTTCTCCTCTTTTTTTCTAAGCACCTAATAATTTTATTACATTTATATTCCTTTCATTACATAAACAATCTCTATAATTCATATAATTACTTTTTTCCCTTTCCCCAGTTGTGCTACCCCTTGTGCTCCCCATCTCCGGAGTTCTTCTTTTCTTTATACTCCCACCAGAACCTCATTTCTTCTGGTGGGGGTTGGTTCCCATCTTCTTTCCTTAATGTTTCCTCAATAAATATTTTCCATATATTTTCAAAATCATTATCCTTCCTTAGGCCTTTTTTAACCTTTAAATTGCATGTTAATTTGTCATTTATTGCTAATTTCCAAATTTCCTTGTACCATTCTTCTATCTTAATTTCCACCTCTCCTTTCCAATATTTTGCTATTAGTAGCCTTGCAGCCGTTAACAACATTGTTATCAGATTCTTTTCATTTTCCTTCCATTCATCTGTATTGTAAATAGATAACAGTATAGTCGCTGGATTTCTATTAATTTTTTTCTTCATAATACTTTCTATTTCTACTATAACTTTTCCCCAGAAACTCTGTACATATTTGCATTGCCACCACATGTGGATATACGTACCCCTTTCTTGGCAACCCCTCCAACATTTTTCTGAACAACTCTTATCCATATTATGGATCTTTGTCGGGGTCAGGTACCATTTCCATACCATCTTGTAGTAGTTTTCTTTTATCCTAATTGATAAATTCTTGAGGTGTCTTGCTCTCCATAATTTTTCCCAATTCCTTTCTCCTATTTTTATTCCCAGTTCTTCTTCCCATAGTTCCCTTGTTTGTATCCCTTTTCTCTCCCCTTTAATCCCTAGTGATTGCCTGTTACGATGATTTGATGATGATTATGCCACAACTGGGCTCCAACATGT